CAAGTCCTTGACCCACAGGGATTGGGGACATCTGTGTCCAAGGCATGGCCTCTGTCCTATGTCTTTGATGCTCGACCTGAAGGCAGTACCTCCCTCTACTCCTGAACTGGAGAAAACAAAACAGCCTGGGCTCACCGTGGCCAGTGTGGCTCAGTTGGTTGGGCATAGTCCTGTGCCCTGAAAGGTTGCCAGAGTGATTGGTCAGGGCACATGCCCGGGTTTCAGACTCAATCCCCAGTAGGGGGCATGCAGGAGGCAGCTGATCAATGATTCTCTCTCATCATTGATGTTTTTCTCCCTTCCTCTCTCTGAAAACATATCCTCGGGTGAGGATTTTAAAAAGAGAGAGTTTATTTTAGAAAGCTGCCCTGCTTTCATTTTCTTTAATGCCTCACCCACACACCTCTGTGTAAGGCAGTGGTTCTCAACCTTCCTAATGCCGCGACCCTGTAGGGGGTGTGCAGGAGGCAGCTGAGCAATGTTTCTCTCTCATCGATGTTTCTAGCTCTATCTCTCTCCCTTCCTCTCTGTAAAAAATCAATAAAATATATTTTAAAAAATAAAAATAAAAACATAACAGCCTTGGTTCACTTGGAGCCTGGGGGTTGAACAAAAAGCAGAGGAGGGCACTATGACATGTTGTCCCCCTCCCTTACCCCCGATTCCAAACAGTTGTCAAAGGCCTGAGTCCCCTTTAAGAATTCTACACTCAGCGGCTCCTTGCATCCCCAGAGCACCCTCCTTAATATCTGACAACTGGTTGCTAGGACAGCAGCAGGACACAGGGACACAGGGACACAGGGAGCTTGGCCATGACCAGACAGTGGGCTAGACAGGAGTGAACTGTCCATACTCCAGACGCAGTGGTTCTCAACCTTCCTAATGCCGTGACCCTTTAATACAGTTCCTCATGTTGTGGTGACCCCCAATTTCATTGTTACAAATTGAACATAATTAAAGCATAGTGATTAATCACAAAACAATATGTAATTATATGTGTTTTCCAATGGTCTTAGGCGACCCCTGTGAAAGGGTCGTTCGACCCCCAAAGAGTCGCAATCCACAGGTTGAGAACCGTTGCTCCAGAGGCTGGTTCACAGCTGGTGTGAGCAAGGCTCCATAGGGGCTCTGAGAATGGGGCTAAAAGCTCTGCCCTAGGTCAGGGTTCATTCCGGGGCAAAACCCACACCGGGAATGGGCCTAAGCCAGGCTCCACTTTATAGGGCACGCGTTGGAAACCTCAGAGCTGGTGTATTAAGAATATGCAGATTATGACCTGTTGAATGAGGGAACACAAGCCACCCACACTGGCACCAGAGCTCCCACTTTGGAGAAGTGAAAACCCAGGGGCCCTTTTGATTGAAGGCCCAGTTTCAATACATTAACACAAAGGAAGTAGTCACAAGATTTATTACTTGCAGATCCCAGAAGTGCGGGAGCACAATGTGGGGGAGGGAGGAAGCGCACTTCTCTGTCCCAGGTCACAAGAGAGCAAGAGATAAAGAACCGGATAGCAAGAAGCACCCATTATCTATGAGGTGGTTGGAGCAAAGGCACTAATTTTTTTCACAGGCTCAACTCTGAGTGGTCATTTAAAAATGTGCCTGGGAAAAGCAAGGCAGGGACTTGTGGCAGGATCCTAAGCTCCAGGCCCTTATTTAAACGTCCAGACTGGGTGTGAGCAGGGTTGACATACTGTGAAATGCCTAGGTGGCAACACAAAATGACTCTTTTCTCCTCCCAAGGCACTGATGTGCAGGCACCGCCTGCCAACCACTGGCCCCTGCCCTGAGGCTCTGGGTCAGCAGCATCTCCACAGGGTTCCCCAGGGGAGGCTGCCTCCTTCCGCACCTTCTAAATTTAGGGCTGGGCTCTGTGACTCATTCTTGAATCTGCTTTGCTCCCTCCTCCAGGATTGTGCTCCCACGGTATTTCCAACCTCTGCTGCCTCAGACTGATAAATAAGGCCCTAGAAATCCTGCAGCAGCCACCACACCCCAGTCCACGCCCCCATCCCTCAGCTCAGCTCTGGGCTTCTCTCTGACCATGTCTGTCTGCCTCCCCTTACCTTTCCAAACACTCACCTCCACCCTGCCACTCCCCAACCAGAACCTACCCAGGGGGCCATATGGGGGAGTGGGGAGGGGGGGGCCTGACTCCAAGCAGGACTGTGGTGGCAGTGGGGAAGGAGAGAGGGAGCCAAGACCTGCCCCTCCAAATTAGTAGCCAGGTGGAGTCTCACTCCCACCTGGAGGCTCTTGGTGAGTTCCTGGCCTCTCTAGGTTTCTCTTTCCTCCTCCATAAATAAGGGGTTTGAACCGCAGTTGAAATGAGCACTGAGCCAGATCTCCACCTTCAAACAGGGTGGGCCAGGGGCAGGATATCTGACATTAGGCCCTGTATCCAGTCTAGGCTCCTCTCTAGCCTTCCTCCCCTTTTGCTCTGGGGACACAGGCCAAGCCCCTGCTAGCAACCTTTTTTTAAAAAATTCTTTATTGTTGAAAGTATTACATATGTCTCCTTTTTCCCCCATTGAACTCTCCCAGCCCGCTCCCGCCCCCCAGCACAGGCCCGAACCCCCCTATTGTCTGTGTCCATTGGTTATGCTTATATGCATGCATACAAGTCCTGTGGTTGATCTCTCCCCACGCCCCCCACCTTCCCCTGCCTTCCTTCTGAGGTTTGATGGTCTGTTCCATGCTTCTGTCTCTGGATCTATTTTTGTTCATCAGTTTATATTGGCAGCCTTTTTTTTTTTTTTAACTTCTGCCCTGCCTGGAGGAAGGGTTGTGCATGACCCACACCCTGAAGGGGCTGGGAAGAGTACAGGGTCTGGTCCTGGTCTGACTGACCGGGGCTGTAATGTACAGCTTAACTCTAGACCTCAGGTTGTGGGGAAGGGAATCATGTTGCATGAGGAGGTGTAAACAGTGTAAACCCTTGAGGTGCCTGTTCCCTGCCAGGTTACCAGAGCTAGAGGATGACATGGGGATGTAGGTTTCCCCCTTGACTCCAGAAACATAGGGTCTCAGGGCACAGAGTGTAGGTGTCTGAGAGATGAGCATACCTGGGGCTGCAGCACCTCTGCCCCTGCTTGGCGCTAGAAGAACCCTGTCTGCAGCGAGCCTCAGCCCTGTGTTCATCAGTAACAACAGTGGCTAATGTTTACCGAGCTTGGAACATGTGCCTGGTGCTGTTCTATGCACTTAACAAGTCTTCACTTCTTTCATTCATAGTTATACCTCGAGACAGCCCTGGATAAGGTTTCCTACTCCTCCCCAACATCTCCCCACCACCCACCCACGACACTTTACAGGCAATTCAATGCTCAGAGAAGGTAGTGAACGACACGAGGCCACAGCGTTAAGTCACTGGGAAGGCTGCTTAAGAGCCAGGTTTGACTACAATCTTGGCTTCTGCTTGCTACCCCCAGGTGGCTCTGCCCCGAGTATACATTAGAGACTCAATAAATGTTTGATGAAGATGTTTGATTGCTGCCATGTAATGGAAAGATCCCTATCCTAGTTCATTTGTACCCCAACTCCTGTGTGTTGGGGTAAAACTTAAGAGTCCTTTCCTCCTTTAGCCTCAGTTTCCCCCAATGAAAACAGAGATTACTGAAGACCCAGAGAATTAGATACTTGGATGTGGGGAGGATCTTGGATTTCCATTTCTACAAACACTTGCCTTTCATGACTTGCTGGAGGAGGGGGACCCATCTGCAACCAGACCTCAGGGTCTCCCAGGCCCTCCCCCCGCCTATCCCCAGAACCTCCAAGTGCACTCCAGAGAGGAACACCTAGGTACAGCCCAGCTCCATCATTTCAGAGACAGAAAAGTTCGCTTCCCAGCTGGGCATCTGCCTGATCCTGGGGGCTGTATGGTGTGTCCATGGTGCCACCTGGCTATTCCACCTGACTGGGAGAGAGGCTCCTACAGCCTCAGTTCAATGTGCATCCCTTTCTCTCATCATTACTCAAGCCAGCCAGGGTATCAACTTCAGCCGCTGCTGGCCCCACCTGGAGTCACCTGAGTGCCCAGTTCCTCCCACGTTCAGAAACAGAGCCCAATACCCTCCTATTCCTTTCCATTCAGAGTCTGATCCCTTAGAACTACGCCCACATCTGTCCCACCTGGACTCCTCCCCTTACCTGGGCCACTATCCTGAGAGGCAGGGTCTGTACAGATCCAGCTACACTGTTCTCTTTCTCCAGGATTCTCCAGATCTTTCTTAGTTTCCTGCTTCTTGTAGCCATCTCAACAGAGCAGGGCCCTCTTCCATTAGGCCTAGGTTGGGTAGAAGGATTGGAATTAGAGTCTCCTCCATGCCCTCAGAGTAGTCTGTGTCTCTAAGACAGTATTCAACAAAAACACTAATCCTTGGTGCAGGGAAAGGCTCCAGGACCAAAGGCAGGAGGGCTGGGCTTTAGCGCTTGTTCACAGACTGCTGAGACCTGTAGAGCAAGCTCCTGCCCCTTTGAGGCCCTCAGTTTTGCAATCTGTAGAAAGAGGAAATGGGCCCCTCAATCTGCAATCACCTGACTAATAATATTTTGCCCTTATAGACTGCTTGGGAGTTTAGTTTCACTCCTGCATCAGATTTGATCCTCCCAACAACCTACTTCCATTTACAAATGAGAAGGCTTAGGTTCCCAAGGGACCAGAATTGCCCAAGGTCACACAGTAAGTCGCAGGCAGGGCCTGGGCTAGAGTCTGTGAATCCTGAACCATCCATCTCTGGTCCCCCGAACTCTATTATACTAGGACTCTGGCTGTGTGACTTTCTCTGACCCGTTGTCCAATCTGCAACAGGGCTGCTGTGAGGATCAAACCAAGGCAATGAAGGAAGCTGTGCTTTGCAAACCATAGAGAAAGGACAACAAAAAAAGACGGACAGTTACTAATTCTGTTATCTTGGCTAAGGCGCCCCCAGGTGTCCATCCCGGGTCGCTCAGCTTGCGCAGGCGCTCTTTGGTGTTTACAGCGGCCGCCAGGTCCTGCATTTGCGCCTGCGCTTCCAGCCGGGGCTGCCCAATGCCCTCAAGCTGCACATTGTCGGACGCGGCCCCAAGTACTGCAGTGAGCTTCCTGGGGCCCCTGTCAGCTCCCAGGCGTCTCCAAAGCCCCGCAGCAGCGGCGATCTGAGAAATGACAGGAAGAAGCAACAGCTCGGTCTCTACCCTCCTCCTCTCCTGAGACTCCAGCATCTCCGTCACCGGTTCACTAAACCTCGGGTGCCGGTTCTGGCGCCCCCTCACGGTAGACATGGCGGCCGCAGTGAATTAGACCAGAGTGGCCCATGCACTGCCTCGTGGGAGCCTTAGTTCAGGGCTAGAACCTTTCTGGAGTTGGAACGCGGTAAAAACTACATTTCCCAGAAGCCCAAGAGACAGAGACGCAGAAGGGCCCGGGGCATGGCGGGAGATGGAGTTTGGGGACCGTAGTGGGTTTGTGCTGGCAGAGAAACGAGTTAGAGCAGTTGAACTGCTTGCTCTGGTGTTCGCCTTGCGTGTTCGAGGTACGTAATACATAGTAGCTGTCATAGGAGGAGAGTAGTGTTGTTAGAGCTGCGTTTAGAAAGAATACTCCTCATTACCAGTACGCACTTCCTACAGGGCTTTCACCCCCATAACTCCTTGGAGACTCCTCTCAACAGGCATCCACATCGCCAAGGGCTCTCAGTTCTCTTACTGAGGTTGAATAGAACGTGTTTGGGGTGATCGAAATGTTCTCTATCTGTAATAATACAACAGGGACTAGTCTGTGGCTACCGAACACTTGACATGCGGCTAAGTGCCATGGAGAAATAAACATGTTTTTATTTAATTAATTTTATTCTTTAAATAATTTAAATTTAATTAATCACTTAAATTTAATTTAAATAGCCACCCGTGGCTAGTGCCTACCCTATTGGACAGTGTCGCAGTAAACTAGACCTCTTAGCATTCAACACCAACCATCATCTTCCTGCTTTGTGAGACTTACACTTCAGTTTTCTTCCTGCCTACTCACTACTCTTTTATTTTGAATTTTTTGTTAAACTTATTGGGGTGACATTGGTTAATAGGATCGTATAGGTTTCAAGTGTATAATTCTATTTACAAGATCTGTGTATTGCCTGTGTGCCCACCACCCCAAGTCAAACCATCTTCTCTCGCCATATATTAGGCCCTACTCACTACTCTTGATCTTTGCAGATTCCTTAGCTGTAAAATTTTTCCCAAGGACATACTGCAGTTATAAAATGTCATAACACACCATCTGTTGAGTAACTACTTTCTTACTCACTGAGCAACTTTGTTTTCTAAAATCATAGACTATCAGAAACTTTGCTGTTTGAAATTATATAAGTAAGACTGAAACTCCAACCTGGAGGATCTAAATCGCTAAGCAGACAGGGCTTACAACCCAGGAACAGAGATTCAGATAAGATTTCTGAACATAATATACCACATTTACCTTAACTTTATTCTTTCCAAGCAAACAGTACTCTGGGTTCACTTAGCAATCCAGACCTGATGTTGGCTGCTTTATACACAGCTATTTGCTTTGAGCCATCAAAAGATTGCTTCATTTAAATGTCACCTAGCTTTTCTGTGCTGATAGGGCTCTCGCAAACATGGCAAACATTCCTAAAACCTGCCGGACTTTCTGCAGGAAGTGTGGCAAGCATCCGCCCCACAAAGTGACACAGTTGGGCAAGGACTCCCTATGCCCAGGCAAAGCGGCATCATGACAGGAAGCAGAGTGGCTATGATGGGCCGACTAAGCCGATTTTCTGCAGAATTGCTAAAACTACAAAGATTGTGCTGAGGCTTGAATGCGGTGAGCCCAACTGCAGATCTAAGAGAATGCTGGCTACTAAGAGATCCAAGCATTTTGAACTGGGAGATAAGAAGAGAAAGGGCCAAGTGATCCAGTTCTAAGCTTCATATTTTTTTTCTTTTTTTAAAAAAATATATTTTTATAATAAAAAAAAATAAATCTTTTAATGGATTTCAGAGAGAGGAAGGGAGAGGGATAGAAATGCCAATGAGAGAGAATCAATTGGCTGCCTCCTGCACGCCCCCTACTGGGGATCAAGCCCAAAACTTGGGCAGGTGCCCTGACTGGAAAATCTGGTTTAACGCTCAACCACTGAGCCACACCAGCTGGGCTAAACTTCATATTTTGTTTCATTATGTGACAATACAATCTTGAGGATAAAAATAAACAAATAAATAAGTAATAAATGTCGCCTACCCTTCACCTCTCTTAAAGCCTATAACTTACTTTTCCTTTGTGTTCAGTGGGACAGCACATGGTTTTCTGGTGTGTTGTCTTCCTCGTTGCCATGGATCAGTAAACCTGACTTTGTTGGACTCTGGGTGTGTGCCTGGCCGGCTCTGGCTGAGTGGGCTCGAGCAGTCTGGAATACTGGTACCCTCCAGGTTCAGTCACTCCACATGCTCTTTTTAGATAACCTAATTCACTTCCATCCATATGCGGCTGACTCCCCAACTTCCAGCTCGGGCCTTTCTGCTGTCTCTGGGACACCTTCTGGTTGACTTACAGGTCCCTTAAACTCAGTGTGTTCAAAACG